TTGAACATGAGATATTCTTCACAATGCGAAGCTCGTTCAAGGTCCTGGTCAGAGGCAATAATGTCCAAGCTAGCCTCCGTCGCCTTATCGCAATCAAGGGCATCGATCATCAGGTCACTTTCCCGAATCTGGTCTTTTCCGAGTGTCACAGTAAAGTAAGGTTCATTAGGGTGTTCAACCCTTGCAAGAACTCTTTTTGGTCTCCATTCCTTTCGGGCCTGAAGCTGGTGACGAAGGTCCTTTCGACCAAGCTTCGGCCTTCCAGCGATAGCTCCTTAGGAGCCCTGGGCCTGCTGCCCTCTGGCCTGACCTTCTTGGTCATCAGCCTGCTGCCCCCAAACCTGATTCTTTCGGGAAAGGCGAGCAGCCAAACGTTGTTGCTGCATCATCCTTTTTTTAGTCCTAGTATGAGGTTGCATCACCTGCTCCTTCTGGTTCCTTGTCCAGCTCCCGTCATCTGGAGCTTTCCCAGGATGGCAGGTTTGATGGGGTGTGATTACCACCTGATCTACGGACGTTACTCGCCAAACCTCGCATCCCCTTTTAAAGCTTACTTCCGCGATCGTATTCGTGGGGGAAAGTCTGTTCCAAACCGAACTTCTCGGAGGTTTAATCGACCTTCCAAGCCTTTCAAACATTGGCTTTTTAGGGCCTGTTCTCCTACCATATGCTCCAAACACCACATTTGTTGCTGGACGTACTCCGATAATGTTTATCGGCGTGGGGAACGGCTCCGTATCTATTTTCATGTCAGGTTTTTCTGGCAGCTTAATGCGGCCTTCTTTGATGGCTTTCTAGATTGTATTTCGGAAGGAAATGCAGTTCCCGATCTGATGGTCATATACTCCATGCCACATACAAAATAATTTTCCATTCAGCTCCTCTTCGGTCGGCATTTTATGACATTCATTAAGGTGGAGCTGGTTGTCTTTCAGCAAGTAGTCAAAAATCTGCTCCGTTTTCGCGATGTCAAACGAGTAAGATACCTTCAGATTCACCTCACTCCGTCGAGGCGGCTTAAGAGCAGGGCATGTATATGCCTTCCCCTGCGAAATTTAAGCCAAGAAGGTCTCTTCTTGCTCCTCGTTGACCTCGGCAACCCCTTCTTGGGCAAACACGCAATGATTACCACTCCGAAACTTTTGATTTCGGGCCATTTGAGTTTATTTGAAGGGCTGAGCGACCTTCACAGCTTTGGACATCGGCTGCCGAAAGTCGTGACATTCTTGAAGAGCTAGGTTGTCACGCAGCTGGTGCGTCATGTTATTTACTACCACATTCACCACCTGGTCCTCTGGTACACGAACTTGGCATCTAGTTTCTGCGCTCCTGAATTTTTCCAAGAACTGCTCAATCGAATCCTTGCTTTTCCGATCACCATATATCCTATGAATCGCATTTTCGATTACGTGTGGATTTACGATGGGATGTGGTAGCGGCACCATCTCTGCCTGCCCCCCAAGCTGTTTGGAAGCTGCCTGAATGGACGGCGGATTGTGTAACGCCGGCTGCGGGAAGGCTTGTTGAGTAGGTCCCCGTTGTGAGAAACGAACTCGAGGCCCTTCTGCAGGTTCTCTTAAGATTGAAACCTGTTGCAATGGTGTATTTTCAGGGGCTGGTTGGGCATAATATTCGTAGGTTTGTTCCAACCCAAAACTAGCATCAAATTGACCTTCCCCAGCAGCTCCCTGCCCCCCAGTGGATTAGGATGGTGTTAGGACTGATCCTCTTAGTTCCCAAGTCATTCCAGAAGGCTTTGGGACCAAGGAAAGTGATGGTATCGTTGTCGGCCCTGCCCCCCATGCATTGGAAGTCTCTTGTCCAGCCGTTGGGTTTCTTTGAAGGCCTAGAGTGGGGACTAGGGTGCTGAAAGTATTTCTAGCAAATAGGGGATGATTTTGCCCATATGGTGTTGATGGGACTGACCCAAAGGTCATCCCAAATCCTTCAGTTGAAGGCGGCCCAAAAAAAGCCTACCCGGCCGGCGTCCGAGATTCTTCGATCTTCTGAATGGTGATCGGAGATCCTCCAGATCCGGTATCCCTACCGAACAGAGTAACATGGCCATACTTAAGTGCCTCGGAGGTCGGATCTGCTGCGAAGTTGGTTGTAAAGCCCGCAGGAGGCCAAATCTCTGGCTGGCTGGAATCGACCTTCCGGGCTTTACTTTTTCGAGTTTCTTCCTCCAGAAACATCGCAAACTCGTTCTGAATGGCGGGTTTCAGAACATCGTTAATGTACCGAGATAGATCCAAGGTGGATCCGTGAATTGATGACCAAATTTCCTCACGAATCTGCTCCTTAAGGACGCTGGCTGGAAGATTAATTATCTGGTCCGGCCTTCCAGCAGCCGCGGAAGCCTCGTCGTGTGGGGCAGCATGTTGCACAGGGCACAATGACGAATCGTCGATGATTCCTTTGTTTTTAAACATCTCTGCGGTCGTCGGCGTCATCAATTTTCTTCCGAAGTTGCATGTAGAAGCCGCGAGACGTCGGTCCCACTGGGCGTGCCAATCTGTTGTCGTAAAAAAATCGCCACCGACGGCTTAATCGAAAAAGCCTGTCGGAATTGATTTAATTGTAGGGTTCCCCGGCCTCCTCAAGAAAGGATCCGGACTATCTCGCGATAACTGAAAAATTGATGAAAAAAAAAAAAAAAGCAAAATAAACAAGAACGAAACTGAAAATTAAATTGGAATTAATCGAAGAAAACTGTAAAAATCTGGAAAATTTACAAGAAAATAATGCAGAGAAAAATTATGAAAAAAGAAGAAGATTCATAATGAATGGCGTCCTCCTTTTCTAGTTCTACCCTTGGATATTTATTTTGTTTTTTTTTTTAATTATGTTTGGATAAGATATTATCCCTAATTATTCTCAACAACTTCAACCACCTTTACTTCCACTTTATTTCATCCGTTGACTGCTTCAAGTGCACCAGGCCGGTTGGGTCCTTGGGCTAGTCAGGTCCGTAGGCCCACTCGCTAATCTGGACCTTCTGTTGGGTTGCGAACCTCGAGGATTTGGGCTGTACTTGTGTTGGGCCGGTCCAATTAATTTTGAGTGTGTACAAATGCCCCCCACAAAATTATCTGGACAAAAGTTAACTTGTAATCCGGATAATTTTGTTAAAAGTTACTCGGCTTGTCCATCTGCTTTTCGTCCTTCTGCAAGATCGCATTCAATGACCGGCTGACCATGCTTTCCTTTCAGCTCTCAAAGAGAAGGATAAAATCTTTAAGATATTTTCCATTAATAAACGTCGTCAACTCCTCCCATTTGGGTTCCATCAACCTATACACGCTATTGGATGACTTGGCCGACACTAGGCACAAGATGTGTTTGTTCGGGGGATTGGATTTTAAATCCACTATTCATCCAAAATTTTCTCAAAAAAAAATATCAAATCAAACACCTATTTTTTATTTTTTATATTATACTAAAAATCAATTTTACATTCAAAACATCACATCAACACCTATTTAAAAATTTTTGTCCAAACCCAAAACAAACACACCCTTAGTTACTATTTTAACTATAACTTTTTTTTTTTTTTTTGACCTATGGTTGATTTTCGATTTGCGATATTGACAAGATACATCAAAAATATATCCAATGACATAAAATTTATAAAAATTAGACACACTCACAGACAAAAAAAAAAACTGTTTGAAATAAACTAATTGACAACTACTCCCTCCGTTCCACATAATTTGTCCCTATTTTCTATTTTCGTCTGTCTCACGTAACTTGTCATTTCTATTTTTGGAAATATAATTATGCACTTTAATCGCATTTTAAATTTTAAATTTTATAAATTTTTTAATTTTAATTAAACTGTTTACTTATCTTAATCTTAATCTATAATTATTTTTACTAAATAATAATTATTTTTACTAATATACTTCTTAATTACTTACTAATTATACTTTACCTAAATTCCCATGTCTACAATAATACGCCCATATTATATGGGACGGAGGGAGTACAATTTTTAAACATTCAAATAAATATAACACTTAATCCACCTCGACGGATTAGATGCTATAATGTTGAAAAAAATATTACAAAAAAATATATATGCATATATATATATACTCCCACCGTACTAAAACAATAGTCTTATTTTCATAAATAATCATATCATTAAATAAGTATTCATACTCTTTCATTATTATTACACAATTGTTACTACCTTTTACATTAATACACTCGCAAGGACAAAAATGTTTTTTACTATTTTTTACTCACTAAAAATATAATATCAATATTCCTTAAATTTTATGTCCAATACAACCAAAACTATAGTTTATGGACGAAGGGAGTATTATATAACAATAAAAATATTCCTTGTACAGGTGTGTTTGTTTGGGGGTTTGGATTTTGAGTTGGGATTTGAATAGTAAAAATTTTGAATTTGAATAGTTGTATGATGTGATATAAATAGGTGTTGATGTGATGTTTTGAATGTAAAATTAATTTTTAGTATAATATAAAAAATAAAAAATAAGTATTTTATTTGATATTTTTTGGAGAAAACTTTTGAGTGAGTAGTAAGATTTTGTCTAAATCCTACAAACGAACACACCAGATTCACTCTATTGAGGAGAAACTTTAGAAGAATGTTTGGTGTATTTAATATGATATGAAATTTTAAGTACCAATTTAAATTTTAATGTATATAATAGTTTATAATAATTGAAAATAAAATACTCCCTCCCTCGGTAGCATTGAAAGTTTACATTTATTTTTTACTTGTTGGTATTTGAATATTAATTTTTATATCAAAAATGTAATACAAATCAACGAAAAATGACAAAAATATTTCTATTAATATCCTACAATACTAATAGAAGGACGTTTATACAAAAAATTATACAAATATAAAAAATATTTTTAATATTAAATAGAATGACACAAAAGATAAATGTAAACTTATTAAGTGGACGGAGAAAATATTTTTGAGAAAAAAAACCTAAGAATAAATAAAAACCAAAAGCTTGCAAACTAACACACCCTTAGCAAAATCTTGTGCCATTAAAGAAAACATTACAGTTTGATGATATCAACAAATTTTGGAATAAAAGACCGTCTGATCTAAAAGTTTAAACACGAAGTAACTCACATTATTTATTTATATAAGATAAGGTCGACGAACAAGAACAACACAAGACGAGTCGAGTTGAGTCGACTAAGCAGCATAAATCCTTACGACTTGATCGATGCGCGAACGGCACACGGGGCACCCGAACATCTTCCCCTGAATCTCCTTCAAACACGACATGCACCCGACCATATGCCCGCACGGTATGCAAGCCCCCTCGACCGCAGCATCCAGGCATATCGTGCACGACGAATTCTCCGATATCTCCGCAGACGCGCCACCATCAGAACGACTCTGATCAACGCGCGCCGGAATGCTCGATTGGTTACCTGAGCTTTTCATATCGGCATATACTGATTTTGTGAAGGGAGGATTCGTATCCGGCGATGGAGGCCGCGGGGAGGACTGGAGGGAGGCTTTAATTGCCGCGGCTAATTCTTCGTCTTCGGACGACAATTGCGCAGATGCCGGAGCCGTAGGCGTCGGAAATGTCGCCGCAGGAGCGGTAGGGACGGTATACACTCCTGCCGGAGGAATCGGGACGGGGAACGATGGGTGCGTCGTCGCCTGGCGAACTCCGTTGCAGGCGTTGGAGAAATCCCGTAATAGATGCTTTTCGACAGCATGCACGGGGGCAAGTTTAATACGCGTACCTACAAAAAAAGGTTCGAGTCAGCATTTCAGCATTTTTGGTAGTCGAAAGTATCTTTCGAAGAAATCGAAATTACCACGGCCTGCCTCTTGGGAGTGTTTAATCCCGCGCCTCTTCCTCCAGAGTTTCGAAACTATGCATAAAGATAACGAACGATAAACTTTTTCGTTTAAGTTGCGGCGCAAATACTGAAAGGTAAGAGCTTACTTTTCGAAATATGAGAGATTATCGCTACCGGGTCAGGCTGGTGGAATTTGGGCTCTTCTAACTTAGCTTTCGACAGAGGTATGATGGTGCGCGGTTGGGAATCCTGCCGACGAAGTAACAATGAAAACTTTAATCGACGCGATGATCATATATGACATTTAGAGCGTAAGAAAAGGGCGCGAAGTTGATAAATACGGCACCTCCAGGTTAGAGTATATTGCGACCTCCAATCTCAAAGGCTTTCGCTTATTCCGGGAGCCACAAGGCAAAACAACCACCCACCTACATTTGCATTGATGACGAATAAATGTCATAGTGATCGCTAAAATAACTGATCTAATATAATGTTGAAGTTATGAATCATCGAGGTAAGCTAATTTGGCGATCAGCATCGAGTAGAGAAACATATGTATCCACAAATCGATCGAACAAAAAGTTAATGTTGGAGATTTGAAAGAGATAATAATGATACTAAATCAACTTCAGCATTGCACTCACACTCTTCTTGAAAGTAACTGAGGAGCCAGAAGATCAAGAAAGCCGGGACCATGAAGTTCCCGCAGCCATCCAGAGAAAAAGCAGATACGCCCCTAAGAGTCGCAACTTAAAAATGTTAACACTCGAACGAATTGCATTTAAATGAAACGGAAATTAGTATGAGGGGATATATACCTCAATTGCTCGGACAACATTACCATGTCCTTTAAGTCTTGCAATATCAAGAGGGGTTTGATATTCGTCGTTCATTTCTAGTGCATTTGCTGAGATTTCCAAAAGAAACATTTCATCACTACAAATGAGAAAAAAAATATGCCTAACATTCAAGAAGTCGAAACCATGGAAATTATGCAAATAGACACACCCCCATGTGAAAGAAGTAAATTCACAGTCTGCTCGAGGCCTCTTCTTGCAGCATGATGTAAAGGGGTTCCTCCATTGCAACCTCGAGAGGAAAAATTCAACCAAGTAAGTGAAATAGTTCGAGTCACCACAAAACACCGATAATTGATAATATAATGTATTGCAGTTAAATTTTAGGCAGATGAACTCACCTCGACTATAAGCATTGACATTGGCGCCCAATTCTATCAAAGTTTTAGCTGCATTATAAAGCTCCAAACTTGTGCAAGCAACAATCAATGGAGTCTTTCTTTCTTTATCAGTCCACTGAAACCACAAGCACTATATAAGGGAATGAATCCGACTCCGAAACAGGGCAGCCTTAACATTATGCGATGTGGTTAAACAAGTTTAATTTGATCTTTATATACATTCAAATAAGACCGATATACGAGAAAGAATTCATGTATACTAAGCTGTTGGGAAAATCCCATCTGATGTTCCGGTGCAAGAATTTGAAACTAACCATGGATAATACAAAAAGAACGAATAGACACGAGAAAGACAAATCAATTTTATTGTAAACAATTAGGAGGTTAGCTTAGAGAAAAGAATTATATGTAGAAACTTCACCAAGCACACATGAAGGTGCAAACACAATACAATATCGAAAATTCTTCAAGGAAGAGTCGTGCCTACGACTAATAATGGAAGCTCAACCTATTCATGTATCTCTACCAGTCTCCGAATAGGACTCAATCCGAGATCAAGGATTTATACAATGTTAATTAATCCTCATGCATAAATTTATACATGTATATTAACTAATATCTATAATTCTTTGAGGAAGTCTTGCTTACGACTTATAATGGAAACTCGACCTATTCATGTATCTCTACCACTCTCCGAATAGGACTCAATCCGAAACCAATGATTTATACAATGTTAAGTAATCCTCATACATAAATTTATACATGTATATCAACTAATTTTTTATAATTCTTCGAGGAAGAGTCGTGCTTACGACTAATAATGGAAACTCAACCTATTCATGTATTTATACCACTCTTCGAACAGGACTCAATCCGAAACCAAGGATTTATACAATGTTAACTAATCCTCATACATAAATTTATACATGTATTATGTATATTAACTAATATCTATAATTCTTCGATGAAGATTCATGCTTACAACTAATAATGGAAGCTCGAATTATTCATGTATCTCTACCACTCTCCGAATAGGACTCAATCCGAAACCAAGGATTTATACAAAGTTAAGTAATCCTCATACATAAATATATACATGTATATTAACTAATATCTATAATTCTTCGAGGAAGATTCGTGCTTACGACTAATAATGGAAGCTTAACCTATGTATCTCTTACACTTTCCGAATAGGACTCGATCCGAAACCAAGGTTCTATACAACATTAATTAATCCTTACACATAAATCTACACATGAAATTAACTAATGCTTAACAATAAACAACACATCCTAAGAGGATAGTTCTAATTCTATCCAAAAGAACAAAAGTTCTTATAGCACGAATGACAATAATCAGATTCAAAAATCGTGCACATAGATAGACATAAAATCATTATATTTATCACGTATTGGATTGATCAAATGCTACAAGTTTAAGGAAAATTCAAAATCGAATGCCTCTGCGGCAGTTCAAGAAGAAAACATTAATCCGGAGTCTCTATCCACGAAAAATGCATATCGGCAATGAAAATAAGATGAAGCAACTAAAGATCAGCAACCTCTTAAAACAGAAATACACGTCACGGAGCAAATCTAATGCATAATCCAATCGAAAAAGATAAGAAAAAACTCCTGGTCTGACTTCCAGGATACCTCAAGCCCGGCGCCTTCCCTCCGCAGAGCTTTGATGGCTTCAATATCTCCCGAATTCACTCGCTTGTATAGCAGTTCGTCTTTCGATTGCTGCAATCCCATTTTGAATTTTTTCCCCTGAATTTTTCTTGTTCCCGAAAACTATAGGTAATAATCAAAATTGAATTAAGTTCTTGGGGAAGAAGGAAGAAAAAGGGGTATGAGCTTCGATTTCTTCCTCTTCACTCAACGCACGCCTGCCTATCCCAATTCCCAACTCCTCCTCCTCCTCAACGCTTCTGGAAAATCTTCCAGGGGGTGTTTTCGGAAACGGAACATGCGTAATCGTATCGTATCGTATCTCCCTCGGCTCGGCTCGGCTAGTCTCGGCTCTTCCAAGACGACCCGTCAAAAACTGAGAAAACGATGCAAGCGCGTCGTACGGGCTTGTGTTTAAAAACGACTTTTTGTTTTCTTTTTATACATTTACTCAGTTATTCCAAAACTATTTTTTCAACTGCAATTTAAAAAAATAATAATATACGAGTTCCAGTACATTTTTTCTATTTTTTTGTCGTTCTATGATTTATTTTTTTAAAATATAATTATTGATTTTAAGAATATATTTTATTTTAATTAAATTATTTAATTATTTTAATTTTAATTTTAATTATTTTTATTTAATTATAATTATTGTCACTAATATATTTTTTAATTATTTATTAATTATACAAAACCAATCAAACTTGCGCCTAAGTTAAACCTATAAACCTATATTTATTTATTAATTATACAAAACCTATAAACCTATATTTTTTTTCAAACATATTTGTTACAAAAAGTAAAAACAAATTAAATTAAATATTTAATTTAAAATAATATATTTTATATTTTTGGTACAATTCTCGTAAACCCAAGCAAAAATCAATCCAATTGCTTAGAAGGAGACACTATTTGTACATTTTTTACTAAAAAATTATATTAAAATATGACTTTTATGGAAAATAGAAATTAATGGGTATGTTTGTTTTGTGACAATTGTTAAAAATATATATATATATGTGAAATATTAAAAATTATGTAAAGAATATAAAAATAATAAATATGTGTAGTGTATTAATTTTTTAAAAAATTGTACGAAAAAAAAAAACAATAGAAAGAATAAAGCTTACATCAATTTAATTTTGTAAACTTATAAAACTAAAAAAAATCACTCCCAAAACTTAAATTAAAACAAAACTTAGGGAGCTCTAGAAGGTTATATTTGCTAAAATATTGGATGGGTTTATTTTGTGTTATTGAAAAAAAGGGTAAATTATACAACAGCACTTGTGTTTTTAGTAAAAATGCATAATATACCATGTATTTTATTTATTGCGTGAAACCCATTGTGTTAATGTAAAATTTGCACGAAACACCTTCGTTGTCTAAAACTGATGTTTGGTTCTAAATAAAGACCTAAATTACACAAATTTTATAAAAATAAAATATGTTAAATATGTTAAATAATTTTTTTTGAATAAAATAAATAAATAAATAATTGATTATTATTCATTTTATAGTTTTTTTTAGACAAATTGTTATCTGATTTTCACAAATACTATATAAATCAATGATAGATCAATTATTTCTTTATTTATTTTATTCAAAAAAATATTTAAGATATTTTACGCTTTTATTTGTATAAAACTTGCGTAATTTAGGTATTTATTTAGAACCAAACATCAGTTTTGGACAATTAGGATGTTTTGTGCAAACTTTACATTAACACAAGAGGTTTAACGCAATAAATAAAATACAGGGTGTTTTGTGCATTTTTACTAAAATAGAAGGGGATGTTATATAATTTACCTTTGAAATAATGTACTTCATTTGTCCCAGGTTAATTGACATTTTCTGTGACGCGTGTGATATTTAAGGCAGTAGTATTTAATAATAATAATAATAGTATTATTATATTATTATATTAATTTTTATTTGATTAATAATATTGATAGTTTCAAAATAAATTTAATATTTATATGATTAAAAAAATTAGAACACGTATTTAAATATTTTTAAAATTATATTACAATAAAAAAGATATACAATATAGATATGATTTTGTAGAGAACAAAATTTCATAATATAATACAAGTAAATAAAATAAACTTTTATTTATTTATAATTAATATAAACTAATTTTATAAGAAATATAAAGTTTTAAATGTAGATAAAAATATTTCTTTTTTTTACTAGAGAGATAGAAATAAAGAGCTTTAGAATTGGTGGTGTAACATGTTATTTAGTTAATTAAGTTAATTTATAGTAGTATTTGTTAAGTATATCTTGATTTAGTAAATTTTACCCAAAATAGAGATGTTTCAATTAAATCAGAACAAGACAATAGAAAATATGTCAATTAAGATGTGATTGAGGAAATATCTTTTATAGTAGTATTAGATATGAATAATCGTGTGGGTAATATAAAAATAATATTCTATATTGAATTGTTGATTTTTTATTTTTTTGAATTGTCCCAATTTAAAGTACTATTCTTTTTATTTTCGTTTATCACACTAAAAAATATCAATTTTTTATTTTTAGTAAGAAAAAAATTATATATTAATACCAAAATATCTTTAATTTTTACATAAATTACAAAATACTATTATACATACAATTAACTTATATATAAAGTCAAAAGAGAAAAAAATATCAAAATTTTTTACACACTTTCACTAACTAATAAAATACTATTATTATTTCTTAATATGTTACAAAATTTCCAAAAAGATACTCCCTCCGTCCCACTTCTCATGTCCACCTTTCCATTTCAGTCTGTTCCATTTATTTTGTCACTTTCTTTTTTTTAAAAGAATTATATACTTTAATCTTATTTTAAAAAATTTAATTTATAATTTTTTATATTTTAATTATACTAATCAGTTATCTTAATTTTAATCTATAATTATTTTTATTATACAAGAATTATTTTCACTAATATATTTTAAATTATTTACTAATTATACCTCTCATAAATTCTCGTGTTTACAGTAAAACGGACAAAATATCCCGGACAAAAAGAGTACTTTACGATGGAATTGAAAGAATGTATGTTGTGTTAATATGTGTGTATATATTATACTTTTGCAATATTTATAGAAAATAATCGTACCGCCTAACAAAAATTAGGTGAACAAACTCAAATGGTACTTTGCTTAGATATATATAATCTTATATTGATAAATAAAGAATGTGTTTGTTTTGTTAAAAAGAAACAAACCCAAAATATGTTGAAAAGATGATAAATCAAATTATAATAATATTCAAATAGATTAATATTAAAAATATTATTACATCGGTATAAATTTGTGTTTAATTTTCATTTAAGTATACTTAACAAACTTGTGCTTATAGTTTTATGTGCATATAAAGAAATATATTTATGTCAAAGGGAGAAATTATCATAATTATATAAAGAAACAAATTGTGCAATGAATATTATTTTGCAATTAAATTATATTTAAAAAAAATTAAATCATTTATGTTTATATGTCATAATGTCAAGTACATGTTAAAAATCTTGTAAAATTTTAGATAAGATAGAAAATAAGTCCAATGAAAAGCTATTTTATTCGGTATACAAATTGACTTTTAAGTAATCTATATGAAATCTAATTTTCTAAAAGAATAGGAAGTGCTAAAGCTGAGAAAATAATACAAATAAACAAAATTCCAACTAATCCTAAAAATTCGATATTATTCAACAAAAAATCTATAAGAAAAGTCTTTCAATCCTTCCCTATAGTTAGTTTACTTCTTCCCACGTGTCCATCATTTTGTCTGAATTTTTGAAAGTTTTTCAACCTTAAAGATTTCGTCATCACATTTACTATTTTATTTTGAGTTCCACAGTGAATAAATGAAATCTTACATCAATGTGTTTGCTTCTTCTACAATTGGATTCTTTGACAGCTTAATTGTCGAGCAATTACCGCAGTAAATAAATGTGCACTTTTTCTTGTTGTTAGTCAAACATAGCCAGAATTCTTCAACTTCAAAAAGTTTTACTTACACACCCATCTAAAAGAGTGATAATTGAGTGTTTTTTTAGAGGCCCATGATATTGTACCAGAACTTAAAGAAAAACATATCTCGAAATACTCTTGTGATCTTCTACATCTCTACCGTAAGCACTATCTGTGAAATTCATTAATTTTTTTGGACCTTCGTGTTAATACATAATGTCATAGTTACAGTTTTCTTTTAAGTATCGAAGGACTCTTTTGGTTGTCATTAAGTGCATATATGATGGATTACCCATATATATTTCTCTAATTAGACTTACAAAATGCATAAGGTCTAGGCGGATAGCAGTGAGTAGGGGTGAGCACGGTTCGGTTATTTGCAAATATGCAAGTATTTGATATCCGAACTTAACCGAGCAAATATCCGAAATCGCGAACCGTATTTGATTTTCGATTAACCGAAAATATTTGCAATAATTGCAAATAATTCGAACCACCCCGAAATTAAGAAAAAATATAGTATTCGAGAATAATTAAAATTCTAATTAAATAAAAATATTTGAAAATATTTCAAATATTTGATCCGAAACCAAACCGAATATAATATTAATACTCCCTCCGCCCGCTTCTAAGGGTCATATTTACCTTTTGCGTCATTGTACATAACATTAAAAATATCATTATATTTATATAATCTTTTGTGCAAATGTAATTCTATTAGTATTATAAGACACTAATTGAAGTATTTTTGCTATTTTTTCTTAATTTGTACTACGTTTTGATATAATAATTAATATTCAATGATCAACACGCAAAAAGTAAATGAGACTCTTAGGACCGGACGGAGGTAGTATAAATTTTAAAATATAATAATATAAATATATAAATATTTTCGGTTCGTTTAACCGAAAAAAATATCAAAAATCGAAATCGAACCGAACCAAACGAATATAAAATATGTAGTATTTATATTCAAATTGAATTTGTTATGTTAACCGAAAATTTGGTTTGGTTCAGTTCGGATCAACGGTTCGGCGCTACAATTCGGTTTTTTTGTCCACCCCTTGCAGAGAGATACATCAAACTTTCTACAATTTGCTTGGAATAAGTTTCATTCACCTTAACCCTTTGTTCATCTTTATTTATTACTTGATCTAAAATTATTGGATTATTTATTGAGTTGTAATTCTCTATTTCAAATTGCTTGAGAATTTCTTGGGCATAAGCCTTTTGGCATGTGAAAATTTTTTCTGAAAATTAAATAAATTCTATTCTAAACAAGAATTTCATCCATAAATTTATCATCTCAATCATTAAAGTCTTAAATTCTATTAATGCACTTTCATCATTTCTTGTATATAGTCAACACAACATATGTGCTCACAACAAAAAACTTATATTGTTTGATTGTT